ACCAAAGAGGCAGCGATTTTGAGTTATATTGATGATCTTGATCATTGTTCTGCTTGAGTCAAGAATGTAGATTTCGTAATGATCATATTGTATAATTATATGATATAATATTATTAATAAATGTTCTTCTCTATCTTTTTCTTTTAGCCAACTTGAGTTACTTAAGAATATCAATTATGATCATGCGCGTACTATTCACATTATATTATTCCCAAATTTAGAGAGCCGTTTTAAAATTATATATATCCACTAAAAATGTATGAATTGTACGTATGGTATCGGAAAATAAGATAGATCCCTTTCAGAACTTTAAAATATCATTTGTGTTAACTCCAAGAAATATTACAAAATTTAGGCTCACAATATGAATTCATTCCATTGGGGGAAAACAGTTTTTTCGAATGGTATATTGTTTTCAATATTCTTTATATATGTTTGGGTCGCGACACGAAAATTTGATCAGTTAAACGTAACTATCAAGAAAACAACAGATTTTTTTTCCATTTTTTTATTTCCGTACTTCTAATTTATATGATTGTAAGTGTGCCTTGGTTAACTATAAATTTTGTTGGCAGCAATATATATTATATATTGCTTAATTTCCTAGTGTGGAAATTAAATCATAAAATAATTAAATAATCTAAAACGGTTATCAATCTAATATATGTAACAGTTTTTTATGACGAAATATAAGAAATCTTGAAATTTCAGTTCGCCGCATAAATAGACTTGCATCATAAAAAAAAAACATTCATGGCAAACAAAGATTTAAGTAGAAATCGATTACAAAAAATGGTGGACCTTCTTCTTTTCAATTTTAATCAACCATTTAATCATTACCCCCTTTTCAATTAGCTTATTTCTTTTTAGTCATTTTAAACATCACTAATTCCAGTTTAATTCTTCAGAATTTTCACCTGACGCATAAATATTCTTCTCAATCAAAAGCAAAATGAAGAGATGTACATCATAAAACACTACAGAAAATATATTTAACTTGTCTCCACTAATTGGTATTCTCTACATGTAGTTTTATATGTTCTTTTTTTTTCTTTGTTGGAAATAGAATTATTCTATTGTTATCTTTTACAGTGAAAGGTCATTATTATGCTAAGTGTGGAAGTACATTAGAATAGATAATTGGCCGGATCAAATAGGTTTATATATAGAACATTTAAACATGTATATACAGTAACACTATGTATTTTTTTGTCACACTCAGAGTAACAGTATATATGTATATTGCCTAATTACTGAAAATTATATTTTTCAGTAATCCAATTAGCTTATGTGTGAATATATCATTTTTTAATAAAATGCAAAAATAATATAAGAGACTAAATCAATGGTTTGGAACTCGATAAGATCAAAACAAAAGTGTCTTTAATTTTTTTTTTTCTAAAG